GCATTCACTATATCCGCCTCTCCCCGGACCCCGCATTCACTATATCCGGTCTCCCTGGACCCCGCATTCACTATATCCGGTCTCCCCGGACCCCGCATTCACTATATCCACTCCCCCGGACCCCGCATTCACTATATCCGCTCTCCCCAGACCCCGCATTCACTGTATCCGCTCTCCCCGGACCCCGCATTCACTATACCTGCTCTCCCGGACCCCGCATTCACTATATCCGCTCTCCCCGGACCCTGCATTCACTATATCTGGTCTCCTCGGACCCTGCATTCACTATATCCGGTCTCCCCGGACCCCACATTCACTATATCTGGTCTCCCCGGACCCTGCATTCACTATATCTGGTCTCCCCAGATCCCGCATTCACTATATCTGGTTTCCCCGGACCCCGTATTCACTATATCTGGTCTCCCCGGACCCCGCATTCACTATATCCGCTCTCCCCGGACCCCGCATTCACTATATCCGCTCTCCCCGGACCCTGCATTCACTATATCTGGTCTCCCCGGACCCCGCATTCACTATATCCGCTCTCCCCGGACCCTGCATTCACTATATCCGCTCTCCCCCGGACCCCGCATTCACTATATCTGGTCTCCCCGGACCCTGCATTCACTAATATCTGATCTCCCCGGACCCTGCATTCACTATATCTGGTCTCCCACAGTACACAGAACATGGAAGTGCAATTATTTTAGTAAATATAAACTGCTAAATACCTTTTCTCATCAGCAGTATATAGCAGTCTTGTGACTTCTATCAGTGGCCACCTGAGCACTGGTTAAAGCTTGTAGGAGGAATTTTCTTTCTGCTCTAGGAGGATGCGAAACCCTTGACCTCGGTCTTGAAAGTGCTGATTGGCCCTGTGCTGATCACATGCACTCTTCCAAGAGAAAAAAAAAACCTCTCTAGCAATACACACTAAATGGAGCATGTGCAGAGTGACTCCACACGATATGTGGCTACGGGTTCAGTCTGTCTTATCAGGAGATAAGATAAGATGTGGACATTTGAACAAGAGGAGGAGCAGAGAAGACAGGATCAAAAGGCCTTTTTACACAATGCAGAGGATTAACCCCTTAGGCTCCACAGTGAGTATAACAAGCATGCTTTACTGCATCTACAGACTGATTGGACTGTTGTGGGTTTAGTAACACTTTAAGCCTATTCAATAATGCAAATGAACAAATTAGAACTGATCTTTTACCAATGTAAGTGTTCCAACTTGAAATCTGATTGGTTGCTAAACGTATTGGTTATTGCATGTTGCTGGTCACTCATACCCTTCACATTCCTTTACAAAATATGACTGAATTTACAATATAAGTATGTGTATGCCGTCTGAGGATTACAAATGACCTTTCTCAGCCTCAATGACAATAAAGGGAGGCCCAGGGTAAGAGGAAAGGAGAAGATATGAGTGGAGGGCCGGCATGACAGGGGTTAAGGGGGGTGAGGAGAGGAGAGTTATCTAAGTTGGCAAGAAATAGGACGGGGAGTGCTAAGTGGTTAAGATAGGAAAGGGTGGAGCCAGGGGGGTGGTTTGGATGGGATGTGGGAAGGGGTCTTCAGCCGGAAGGAAGATTAGCAAAGGAAATCTTCCCTCCCTCCCGCCCGTTGTGTTTTGCCCATTTTTTGGGTTGTGGTTGTGTTGGTTAGTGCTGACAGGAGCCAGCGGGGTGCAAAGTCCTCGCAGGTTACTGCGGGCACAAAAAGGAACTTTGTAGGGACCCGTTCGAGGTACGGCTGCCAGTTTTTTCTGATGGTGGTATCTGCGGTGGTTGTCTCTGAGTCGGTGGTGTTGCGGCTGGAGGACTATTTTAAGTAGGACGCAGGTAGTTTCATTTATTGATGTCTACTGGGACTTGGAAGTTCCAGTTATATTGTGTTTACATTATTTACAAATGTTATTTATTTTTGTTGTGATAAAAGGCTGTTTTAGCCAGCTTGTTGTCCGAGTGGTCAATGAATGTGAAGGGGAGGAGGTAATGGTCAAAGGAAAGGGAGACAAGCCATCTTTAGTCCTCTGGTCATGTAATATTTGCTGATACCCGTATGCTATGTTTCAATGTCCGCTTAAAAAGCATCAAGTCTCAATGTAGTTCTTCATTTGTCACAAGATCATAATACATTATACAGCACCCACATGTAGCAATCGTGCACACAGAGACAGACGCGACCCTCCATTTTGTTAAGGATTTTCTATGTAATACCATTTCTCATGCCCAAAGCAGGCTGCCCCCTCTATCTTGTAGATCTCTCATCCCCCTCCCTCTCTGTTGAGTGACATATGGTCTGAGTGTGTTTGCAGAGGTCACAAGCAGCCAAAGCACAGCAGGAGAGCTCCGAGCTATAACCCCTCACTAGCTGAGTGCCTAGCTGTCTAAGAAACTGTGCAATCTGGCATATCGTAAAAGCGTAAACTAAGCCTTCACTGACTTCAAAGACATTCCAGAGAAGTAAAAAACTAGATATCACATTTAAAATCCATTTTCCCCCTATGACTTCATATCTTGGAATATGAGAGACTTACATAAAAACCAAGCATATCGTCAGATTGGTTAAGCTAATACAAACCGTTTGATGATATATTATATTCAGTAGCTGGAATATATAGAAAAGCAGAAAATTACATCTCCTGGACCATTCAAGTGCATGAGACATGTTTCATATCTAACCATTCCGCAGATTCGACTGAATATTAATATACTAGTGCCCAGGCCGGCAAATGTACCTAAGAAAAGTTATGGGACAAAATATAAGCTATGAGAGATTCTGGTTGTAACTTAGGTCTCCCTGTCAGGGCTCCCAGGTGTGACCAGAGGTGTGTGGCTGACGCAGGGAAACGCAGACCTCAGATATGTTATAAACAATATAATTTATTAACACTAACAATACAAACATAAACGCAGTGCAATACTAAAACATAATACAGTGCAACCAAACCAAACCAACCACCCACAGATAACAGTACATACAAGCAAGCGTCGTCAGGCAGGCCGGGTCAATATCAATAGGGCAGGTAGGTACAGGGGGAGCAAGCGGAGATTGTTCGGGGTCACAGGCCAGGTTCAGCAGGTAGCAAGCAGCGTAGTACAGAGGGTCAGGCAGAGGGATGGTCAGGGTCACAAGCCAGGGATCAGAACAGGTAGCAAGCAGCGTGGTACAGAGGGTCAGGCAGAGGGATGGTCAAGAGCGAGCCGGGATCAGAGCAGGAGAAGTCAGCAGCGGTTCAGAAACAGGATGTAGGACAGACACAGGATACAGGGCCCAGGACAAACACAACACCAAGGCGAGTCTGTGGGTCTGGCCATCCCTTAAATACCCCAGCATAATCAGTTCCAGGTGTTAGCTGGCTGCAAAGTTGAGTCTCTGATTGCTGGGAGCATCCGCTGGCCAGCCCTGGTACTGCAGATCAAAAGGCAGGTGAGTCCCACCATTGCTGGCCAGTCCATTCCTGACAGTACCCCCCCCTCAAGGAGCGGCCTCAGGACGCTCCAAACAGTCCTAGCTGGGGGAAAAATGTTCCACCGCCCGGGTCTGGTAACTGGCGGGATATCAAAGACTGGCACACCGGGCAGGACTCCGGGCAGCGGTACACCGGGCAGAGGCACATCGGGCTGGACTCCGGGCAGAGGCACACCGGGCAGAAGCACATCGGGCTGGACTCCGGGCAGAGGCACACCGGGCTGGACTCCGGGCAGAGGCACACCGGGCAGAGGCACATCGGGCTGGACTCCGGGCAGAGGCACATCGGGCTGGACTCCGGGCAGAGGCACATCGGGCTGGACTCCGGGCAGAGGCACATCGGGCTGGACTCCGGGCAGAGGCACATCGGGCAGGACTCCGGGCAGAGGCACATCGGGCCACCGGGCGGAGCGGCAGGCACCGGGCCCCCGGGCAGGGGGTGACAGGCACCGGGCCCCCGGGCGGGGCGACAGGCACCGGGCCCCCGGGCGGGGCGACAGGCACCGGGCCCCCGGGCGGGGCGACAGGCACCGGGCCCCCGGGCGGAGCGGGCGGGGCCGGGACCCCCCAGGCAGAACTACAGGTCTCGGGCCCTCAGGCGGAGCGGAGGGGGCGCCGGACCCCCAGATGGAGCGACAGGTCTCGGGCCCCCAGGCGGGAGCGGCGGGCGCCGGACCCCCAGATGGAGGGACAGGCCTCGGGCCCCCAGGCGGGGGAGGCGACAGGGGCCTCGGGCCCCCAGGCGGGGCGCGGGCGCCGGGACCCCCAGATGGAGCGACAGGTCTCGGGCCCTCAGGCGGAGCAACAGGCCTCGGGCCCCCAGACGAAGCGACAGGCGGGCACCGAGTCGTCTGGCAAGGCGGGCGCGGGCACCGAGTCGTCTGGCAAGACTGCGGGCACCGAGTCAACTGGCGGAACAGCGGGCATCGAGACCCGTCTGGCAAGGACTGCGGGCACCGAGTCGTCTGGCAAGACTGCGGGCACCGAGTCGTCTGGCAAGACTGCGGGCACCGAGTCGTCTGGCAAGACTGCGGGCACCGAGTCGTCTGGCGGAACAGCGGGCATCGAGTCAACTGGCGGAACAGCGGGCATCGAGTCAACTGGCAGGGCTGTGGGCACCGAGTCGTCTGGCAAGACTGCGGGCACCGAGTCAACTGGCGGGACTGCGGGCACCGAGTCGTCTGGCAAGACTGCGGGCACCGAGTCGTCTGGCAAAGACTGCGGGCACCGAGTCGTCTGGCAAGACTGCGGGCACCGAGTCGTCTGGCAAGACTGCGGGCACCGAGTCGTCTGGCAAGACTGCGGGCACCGAGTCGTCTGGCGGAACAGACTGCGGGCATCGAGTCAACTGGCGGGGACTGCGGGCACCGAGTCGTCTGGCAAGACTGCGGGCACCGAGTCGTCTGGCAAGACTGCGGGCACCGAGTCGTCTGGCAAGACTGCGGGCACCGAGTCGTCTGGCAAGACTGCGGGCACCGAGTCGTCTGGCAAGACTGCGGGCACCGAGTCGTCTGGCAAGACTGCGGGCACCGAGTCGACTGGCGGAACAGCGGGCACCGAGCCAACTGGCGGAACAGCAGGCTTCGAGTCATCTGGCAAGACTGCGGGCACCGAGTCGTCGTCGATCTGGCGGAACAGCGGGCACCGAGTCGTCTGGCACGACAGTGGGCTCCGAGTCAACAGGCACGACAGTGGGCACCGGGTCATCAGGTATCGGATTGTCTGGCTCAACAGCGGGCATCGGGTCACCAGGTATGACAGCGGGCACTGGGTCACCAGGCATCAGGTCATTTGGCTTGCCAGCGGGCACCGCGTCATCTGGCAAGGCAGTGGGCACCGGGTCACCAGGTATGACAGCGGGCTCTGAGTCAATTGGCACGACAGCGGGCACTGGATCAGGTACCGGATCATCTGGATCAACAGCGGGCATCGAGTCAACTGGCCTAATAGGATCGTCGGGCTGGATCAGTTCATCATGCTGAGTAGCAGGGCATCAGGCTGAATGCAGGCTTCAGGCTGAGTAGAGGCTTCAGGCTGAGAGAGGCATCAGGCTGAAGAGAGGCATCAGGCTGAAGAGAGGCATCAGGCTGAAGAGAGGCATCAGGCTGAAGAGAGGCATCCGGCTGAAGAGAGGCATCAGGCTGAAGAGAGGCATCAGGCTGAAGAGAGGCTTCAGGCTGAGTAGAGGCATCAGGCGAGTAGAGGCTTCAGGCCGAAGAGAGGCATCAGGCTGAGTAGAGGCATCAGGCCGAGTAGAGGCACAGGCATCAGGCCGAGTAGAGGCATCAGGCCGAGTAGAGGCTCAGGCCTGAGAGTAGAGGCATCAGGCCGAGTAGAGGCTTCAGGCTGAACCACGGAAGGCAGGTTCACCGGTTTGGATACTGGCAGGATGGTATTGGTTGGAAAGAATTTTCGCTTTTTTTCTGGTTTTAACTACTGGAGCACTGCAAGTAAACGCAGGTCTGCAAACGAATGGAGCAGCTGGAGACAGAGAAGAACTGGAGGATGGAACAGGAGAGGGAGCAGTTGCTACAGAGGGCTTTTTTACAGGGTTTAAAGGCAGGATAGGTGCAGCGAGTGGGAACAGGGTACTGACATGCGGTAGATAGCCAAGTATACTGGGCTGTAACTGGAGGAGCTGGTGGGAATACAGGAGTAGAGTTAGAAGCAGGACTGGGTTTTTGTAAGCTGACTGAGGCTGGGTGCAACAAGTCTGTCCATGTCTGCAGTATGGGTTGAACAAAGCTGAGCTTACACAAAGCCTGTCTGGTCAATGACTGCACTGCGTTTATACAATCTCTTAGTGTCTGTGGTGAACATGTGGAATAACGCTCCAGAAAGTAACCCACATCATCCTCTAATAACCACACCAGGGACTCTACCTGGTCTGCACTAAATGGTGGCAAAAATTCATCCCTGCATTCGGGGGGGAACCAGATGAAACCAACTCTGCACAAACCTCAATCAAAGGCTGCACCTCAGAGAACTCTGTGCCCTGATCTACTAGAACATGAGCGAGCCGTATACATTCTAGCAGTTCATCCCGGGGTATACTCCTTCAGAGTTTGATAAGCATACTCCTGTCATCAAACACTAGCAGATATAAAATACACAACCTCATCAAGATCCATCCTTCCCATCAACAAGCCAAGATGGCTTCCCTGTGCAGCCACTTCTGGTCAGGATTGGCCTTGGTGTAATGTCAGGGCTCCCAGGTGTGACCAGAGGTGTGTGGCTGACGCAGGGAAACGCAGACCTCAGATATGTTATAAACAATATAATTTATTAACACTAACAATACAAACATAAACGCAGTGCAATACTAAAACATAATACAGTGCAACCAAACAAAAACCAACCACCCACAGATAACAGTACATACAAGCAAGCGTCGTCAGGCAGGCCGGGTCAATATCAATAGGGCAGGTAGGTACAGGGGGAGCAAGCGGAGATTGGTCGGGGTCACAGGCCAGGTTCAGCAGGTAGCAAGCAGCGTAGTACAGAGGGTCAGGCAGAGGGATGGTCAGGGTCACAAGCCAGGGATCAGAACAGGTAGCAAGCAGCGTGGTACAGAGGGTCAGGCAGAGGGATGGTCAGAGCGAGCCAGGGATCAGAGCAGGAGAAGTCAGCAGCGGTTCAGAAACAGGATGTAGGACAGACACAGGATACAGGATACAGGGCCCAGGACAAACACAACACCAAGGCAGAGTCTGTGGGTCTGGCCATCCCTTAAATACCCCAGCATAATCAGTTCCAGGTGTTAGCTGGCTGCAAAGTTGAGTCTCTGATTGCTGGGAGCATCCGCTGGCCAGCCCTGGTATGCAGATCAAAAGGCAGGTCTACCTAAACTCCTTTCTGTTATCTCTTTGCTGTGTTATTGTTCTCTGTATATTTATATATATATTGGTTACATCTTTTTTCTGTAAATATTTTTATTGCCCCCTTTTGACCTTTTAGTAATAAATCTTACTTTCTGAAAGTGTTGAACTGTTTCTAAAGCTTCTTAATGCAACTTACGAATTCCTGCCGCTGAAGAGCGCTACTATGTGTGTTTAACCCTCTGTATAACCTGTCTGCGGTGACAGTGGTATACAGACGATTATTTCAACCATCCTAGTGTTATTGCTGATATTGCTGAGTTTCTCTCTTTCTCTGTACAAAAAGGAGGTGGTGGCAGTGTGAAGGGTTAACTGCGTAATTAACCTGACCCAGTAACAATCGCTTTCAGGCTGCAGGTACACAGATTGTAGTCCATTAGCTGGAAAATCTTTGTGCAGGGTGCAGCTGGGCGTGGCATTGTGACATCGTGGTTTTAGATTGGCTAGTCCTTCGAGCACAAGTTTGGTGAGAAGGGCTGGGGTCTGACGCCGCGATCGTCACACACACATACATAAGATTGGAATTGGGAGATCCCCTAGACTAGTTGGCCCACAATAATTTCCTATCTAACTGTAATTGGCATTATCAGAAATTGTTTTTTTCATGGCCATAGGGACCTGTTGATAGGAGGTCCTTTATCTGTATGAATACAAAGAGCACTATTTTACTAAAATTAGAAGCTGCAGCCTCTGTTGTAATCCAGCATGTCTATGGACTGTTAAGCTGAAGAATATTACATTTTTGTTTTTGGGTTTAGATAGGCATTAAGTTCTCATGTCCCCTTTTGGAATTACTCTTCATTTTAAATTATGGATAGAAAAGAGCACTGGATAGGCATAAGGTGGAAAGTTAGCAAAATGGAATCATCACTGTAGATCTAAGAGAAGTACTGGGTTATTAAACCCAACAAGAACACTTATATCTGGTTAGAATGGACTGACCAACGTATATTAACTTTATTACCAGGTTCAGCGCCATCAGACTAAGTATTTGTCACTTTGTATTTTCAGAGGATGGATTTCCATTATTGAATTCTTTAGGAACAGAACCTTTGGATCCCGAAGCAATATCCACTGTTCTATTTTCTTCTGCACAGAACGCTTTCTTTAATTGGTTATAAACCAGTACTTAAATCATTGTGATAGTGTGTATATATACAGTCAGGTCCATAAATATTGGGACATCGACACAATTCTAACATTTTTGGCTCTATAAACCACCACAATGGATTTGAAATGAAACAAAACAAGATGTGCTTTAACTGCAGTCAGCTTTAATTTGAGGGTATTTACATCCAAATCAGGTGAACGGTGTAGGAATGACAACAGTTTGCATATGTGCCTCCCACTTGTTTAAGGCACCAAAAGTAATGGGACAATTGGCTTCTCAGCTGTTCCATGGCCAGGTGTGTGTTATTCCCTCATTATCCCAATTACAATGAGCAGATAAAAGGTTCAGAGTTTCAATTCAAGTGTGCTATTTGCATTTGGAATCTGTTGCTGTCAACTCTCAAGATGAGATCCAAAGAGCTGTCCACTATCAGTTGAAGCCATCATTAGGCTGCAAAAACAAAACAAACCCATCAGAGAGATAGTAAAAAACATTAGGCGTGGCC